CTATATAGTTTAATCTTTATGCCATTAATCCAGCTTGCTAACCATTTTCACTTAAAGAGTTTTAGTTAACTGTTGCCCAAACTAAAACGTATCAGACTACACTGTACAAAAACTATACAACTTCCCTTGAAGTCAAAGGGTTTGAATTTTGACTTCTGAACTTTATCTTTCATTGAAAGCCTCCCTCTATGTTTAAAAATACTTTATGTTAATTTTTTAGTTGTATACTTTTAAGGGGACTTATTTTGCATTACATTTCAGACATGCCATTAGTTCAGGATGAGAGCAAGCATCAGTACCTGATCAGATGGCTATCAGCCTGGAAGCATCCTCACCTAACCCAAAAAGGCAGGTACAGCAGAAGATGCAAATAATGGTCTGGGAAAGTTAGGAAAGAGTTGGGAAGCTTTTTTCCCACTCCAAGAAGACACATTTCATTGTCACTCCCCCCCACACCCTTTTTTTTGTATTCTCAAGCTACTTTTATACACTGTTTAAATCATTACCAACATGCAATGGTGCTGAAACACTGTTCTGTCATTCCCCTTCCCACCTACTCCTAGCTACATACCTGTCCCTCCCAGCAAAAGTGATATTACAGCCACGGCGATGCATATCCAGGTTAAAACAAATCACTTTGTAACGTTAGTTTTCAGTGCTAGCTTAAAGCGTACATGAAACCATGGCCTCATTAATCAGCAAAATTCATCTAATTACCAGAAGTCACAAGGGATGACCCTGCTACTGTAACATTTCACAGCTTCCATTCCCAAACTCCATGCGTTGTGTTCTCCACTTTCATCAAGCTTGTGACCCAAATACTAGCACATACGGACAAAATCCTATTGCCCTTGAGACCCAGTTTGCATCTGCAATGGTCTTTTGCTCATATATTAGTGCTGTAATGCAGAAATCTCTCACCCTGATTCCATCACCTTTCCCTTTTACATGAACTATTTTCCACATACTATCAACAGAGGAAAATGTAGTGTCAGGCTGGGAAGATTAAGGAAAGCCTTCCTCCCACCCCTTTTGTAAGGCTATTGCCTGACCCCCCAGTACAGGCATACCATGTCTCAGCCCAATAGATCTTTGTTTTTCTGAAATTCTGAACAGAACAAAATTTTCCAAGTGAGAAACCACCATTTATTCCAGCTAAACTAGATGTTTTAGTTTGTGTTTTCTGACAGACTCCTATTTGATATTACTGGCATATCTCTTACAGAGGAGGGAAGCTTTGCTAATAGTCTACTTAGGAAATCACAGAGCTTTCCCAAGCTCTTATCACTAACCCAACAGAGCAGGGCTAACAATAGCATGGTTACTTCCAGAACAATTTACACTACCCATTTTCTTTCAAGAAGCAACTAAACTATTCCTGAAAGGTTGTAGATAATACTTATTTACAATAGATGAAACATTTTGGATCTTTTCATTCTCTATTTCCATGGGAAAATCTCCGTGATTTCCCTTGAGTTCTCTTTTTGTGTGCAGTCTAGACTATCATAATAGTTTTGACAATTATTTTTATTACATAACTTTGAAAAACAGACTCTCATAGAATTTGGTTGTTAGAAAAATCCTGCTCTGAATAAGATAGGACAATGTGTGGCTTTTGAAAAAAAATAATCATAAATTCCTCTATTGTTGGTTTGCTTTCAAAGTTGACTTCTCAGTCTAGAAAAGCTAAAGCTATATTTTAGAGCATGCCAACCACCAATATATATATAAGGAGCTTTCCTTTTCCTATACTTCTTCCCGTGCAAAAGGAAGCAAGTAAAAAAGTAAAAATAGGGTTTGGCCTTGAACAACTATTCCAAAAGATGCTGAAATGATCACCCCAAACACTAAAAACTTGTAGATACCACTGAAGCTAGCTGATAGAGACTTGTTAGAGCTTTATGTTATCCTAGTCACTCTCAGTTAGAATGGAAGAAATACTTATGCTTCGGAATTCTCCCATGAATGAGTAGTGAATGATGAGGAATCATTCTCTAGTCCTATGGGCAGTATGTATTTCATACCACTCCATTAAATCAGGTGTGATAAATATTTGTAAAAAAAAAAAATTGATTTTGTATACAGGGTCATGATGCTAAGCTGTTTAATGAAGGAGTGCTCATCACTGTGCCTCTGAACTAGACAGGAGAGACAGGCAGGCTAACATGACATTTTAAATTTTTGTAATAAAAGGTTGCTTAAGGTGCGTTTTCTGCTAAATATCTTTATTATAGACTATTTCTGTTTCTATGTTGACCTCCTCCACAATTCAACCTTCTGGACTACTTCTCTGTATTATTTCACAGTTGGAAAGGATAAAAAAACTTGTTAGTGTTAAATGTTAAATAGAACAGATTCCTGCTAATAGATTATTGATCATACTTCAGTGACCTTTTGAACATCATGGGCAGGATGCCCTTCTCCCATTTAGGCTTAAGGATCTAACATATTTTAAAAATATTAACATTACAAGCTAGTTATTTTCATGAGCGAAATTGTTAAATTGGGATGCACATCTGCTGTAAGAGGAGGTAGCATCTCTGTTTTTTAACCATAGACTTTATGGAGTATTTTATCAAACTCATAAAACCCACTTACAAAAAAAAAAAAAAAAAAAAAACAGTAAAGTTCTTTATTATTCTGCTACAACCACAAACTTATTTGGCTGAATAACTATGAGAAATGATTTTCTACCTCCCTATTTCCTCTAATCTTTAGGTTAACAATTTTAAACAAAGCAAGAATGGAAAAAAAGTTACAAGTAAAAAGGGTATATGTATTTCATGCACAGTGTCCTACAGACCTTTACTTATTTATTTAAGTTGTATTCTGACATGCAACTTGAAACTAAGATTCAGAATCCCAAATCCTTTTCAATCTAAGATGTGGAACATCAGAGCTCTAGGTTTAAGGCTAACTGCTGTTAGGTGACACCTAGTTAAAAATCACACTACTGCTAGTACGTATTTCACTTCATAAGTAAAAAAGAATCAAACTAAAGATCCTATAAGTACACAAGTTTTTAACCTCATTACAAACCTAGTTGAAATGGTTAAAGGCACACCAGGTTTGCATCTGTACAACACTGTCACACTGTGTTAATCTAGGCTTTCATCCTGATCCAGACAGCTCACTGGAACACTTACAGGGGAACACATGCTTCTAATTACCAATTTTCTCAGTGCAGACATATATTAAGACCTGCATTTCCCGAATCATTGAAATCTATTTCCCAGCCATCTTTCCCGCAGTACCATAAGGCAAGATGAACTTAAGAGGACTGTCATAACCACATACAAGTTCGCTGTCAGTACCTCCTAGCACCTTCTTCACACACATCGCATTGAGAAGTGATTGCAGTTACTTTGACACGATGTCTTCTTACAGGGAGCAGGGAAATCAACTTCTGACATTGCAGGTGCCATTGACAGCACCCTTAGAAGCATGGTAACCTCTGTCACAGAAGGATTGTGTCTTGTTACAGCATTGTTAACCATGCACAGCACAAGGTTCACACAGCGTCTGCTTCTTGCTAATTCGTTCTCTGAAGAACTTGAACTTGTCTTGCCCACAGATAATCCGAAGCCAATGACAAGCTTTTGTTTTCCAAAGTTTCTGAAAGTTTGCATCTTTTCCTTCTTGTAAATATCTATCTAGTGTTTAGATATTGCCACAGACAGTAGAGGAGTCTCATCTACCACGTAACTGAGTACTGACTGGGCCACTGAAACCCTCTACTTACTAGTCAAGTAGATCAGGAAATTGTCAAGTCTCAGACCCACAATGCTCCCTTTTGCTTTGAGGTTGGATGATTTTACTCTTTCCTTTTAATTCTGGGATGACTAGTTTCTGGTTCTATCCTGCCTACATAAGAAATAGCTTAATTGTTCATAGACACTTAGAGCTTGCAGGGATGTTTTCTTCCACTAAACCTGTACAGAGGATTCTCACAAGGGAAAAAGTTTTCTATGGACAGGAATACTCCTGATTTTAGTCTTACTTTTCCCTTTAGAGGAGAAAAGGGAAGCCACAGAGGAGCAGGATCAAAGATTAAGTTTAGTCACAGGTATGAGTGAAGAAAGTGTTTTAAAAACATAGATTGCCAAAGGCTAAATGTTAATTTATTATAGTCTGAAAAAGAGAGATCAGTGAAAATACAGTAAAGCACACAAGAAAGTCTCTAAATCAAAGAGTTCCATATGAAAATCTGAAAAAAATAGAACATTTAAATGAATTGGATCAGAACCACTCACACATTAATCACACATTTATCATTTACAGCTGATAGATTCAGGAAGCTGCACCTTTGTCTTCAAAAAATTTGGGAAGAATATTCTAGTTTTCTTCAGTACCGACTTACAGCTTTCTATTTTAGGGAAGTAGTTTCCTATTTTTTTTTTTTAAAATATCCTGTCTCCAAGAAAACACTAAGAAATGATCTAGTTTCTACTCCTTTCTTACCCCCTCTTGTCCCCCAAGATATGTAATTAGTTGACAGATTTCCACAATGAACAAGCTAAAGATACATATTTTGGAATTTAAGTCCTGTGTTCATCACTTGGGACACATTTTAATTTCACAGGCTGTTCAACGTAAAAACTAGGAAAGTGTCCTAACAGAAGGATAGCCAGGTTGTTGAGGGGGACAAGTTTCTTGTTCTTTCCCTTTGTCTTCCTACCTCTGGGCATCAATGCTATTCACATGAACTTGGCAAGCCAGATGTAGCTTGAAAAGGAATTCCACTATCAGCAAAAACACCGCAAACATTACAGCTTGAAAAGATTGTAGAGGCAGAATTTCTCCCTTGTAATATACATCCCAGTGTTATTTGGCTCTATCTCAAAACCTATTTTTCAAGAGTCTGTACTTACTGTGAAAAAATTTAATGTTTTTTAGTTTAATGACTAATAACCTTTAGTTACAGTTATTTAAATTACGTGCTTATCTTAAAACCTTCATCAATAGTGTTTATCTTAGGAAATTTATTGGTATGTTCCCACCTGTTTTTCTCTCAGCCACTTTACTGATTTCATTCCTCTGTTCTCTTCTTCCTAAGAAAGAAGTAATTAACATATATTTTCTGAAATTGTGTCCATCTGTTTGTAACATACTGATAATGATATACTCAAGCCTACCTACAACATTCCATGAGTCGTCTCATGAAAATTATATTAAGAAGGCCACTCCCCTGCTACTGTTCAAAACAATCCCCACAGATATGCCATAGTTATATTGTCCTTTTCTTCACCCAGTCACTGAACAAAGACATCTAATCTGCTCCCCATTTGCTCCCTTAGCTATTATTGTCTTTCAAGTTTTTCCTTGTATTGAACTTCTCACTTTTTTTCCAAGGACATATCAGTTTGTATTTTTCCTCTCTACTCAGTTACGTTCAATTCCCTGTTTCCAAGATTTTTGGATTATGTTATTTCTTATTACAGCTTATAAAACCTTCTAACTTAAGATCATCTGTAAACACTGTTAAAAAATCATTGATCTGGGATTGAGAGAGGGAGTTAAGAGACTTTTAGTAGATAGGATGCTGATTAACGAATACCTAGATTGTTGTATTAAAAATAGATGTTGCTTAATGTCTTTGCTTACTACTGAGCAAATTAACTGAAACAAGTCTTGGGGCCTCTCACAAAGGACAGTTCCTGACAAAAACGGGGAACCTGTCTCAAGAACTGGCTGAGTCCGACCCTGTGGTTTGGACAAGAGCCAAGGAGCAGCTGAGTCTGCACAAAGGCAGGAAGTCAACCGAGTGGTGATGGAGGAGAGTTATCAGCCTTCACCCCCACGACCCCTGGCAACCACCACCAGGAGAAACTGGGCAAACGCAGCTTATGGAAATGACTTCTTGAAACTAATTTTAATATGGAGTGGGGATAGGTCATGCATATGTATAGGCGCATTGGGAAACTTCATGCACACGTAACTCTTCACTGCATATAACCCAGGCGAGTTGCTGCGTTGGGACGTGCATGACTTTGGTGGGACTGCCTCCCGTGCTGCCCAGCTGTACAATCTTACCGGTTGTGGAGTCCGTTTTCTGCACGTCAGGATGTTCAAGGCAGATGAGTTGTTTTCTTCCACACAAGAATAAATTAAAGTGCAAAATTAGTTTGGTCAAATTTGGGCTGGGAAGGTAAAGAGCCAAAAGTAATTGAAGAATAAGTTGCGTACATTAGAATCTCTCCCAGTAAGAAAAAAAAAAAACACAAAACAATTAAAAACAACAGCAGATGCTCAATGAGAAGAGGAATGCTTAGGTGGGGATTAGTTCTACCATTTCTAGAATGATAAAGTAAGTTTGTAAGGCCAGACCGAGTTCGCTACATTCAATAATTAGCCCATCATATTTTCTGGTCCCGTTACATCAGAAAATCATAGAACTAAAATGACAGCTGCATGAGAAAGTGTGAACTACGAGGCCACCCAACATCTTTCCCTGCTTTCAGAAGAAAGTCTTCACAAAAGACATTGCGAGGTCAAGCAAGAACTCGGCAGAAATCCCAGCCCCCCAGCCCCTGAATAGGTTTGGGAAAGGACCTTTACCGAAGAATGAGGTAGAGGCTGAAGCTGTTTACAGTGACACTGGTGACATTAACAGATTGCTTGTTGTGCATTCCCCAGACATCCTTGGAAATTTATAGCTGGCAATTTCCTCTGAATGCCTCATTCCCTTCACTTCACCATTACACAACACCTGCTTTTGCTTTTCCTTTCCCTTACTTCCCTTAGCTGTCTCTTTCTCCCCTCCCTGCTCTGCTTATTAATCCTTCATCAAGTTAGTGTCACGATCTCTTTACAGGGTGATGGTTTTTCTCCTACTTGCATGACATTATCTGCTTTTAGAACATCACCTTTCTGAGGTACACGCCACCTAATGCTAGTACACTACATTAGAAAGTAGTCCCGCTCCTGACAAACCTCGAGAGACCACAAGTAAGCATTGTTCGAGAAGCTCTTCTGCTAAAACTCTAAAAGTGCTAATGACAAACTACTAAACTGATAGAGAAAATTTATGGGAAGAGTGTTCAGAAACCCCAAAACTATCAGAAATTAAAAAACCTAAAACTAAAACAAACAAACGAAAACACTTGCATTTGAGATAACAGGACGGAAGAATGCTACACAGCTTTCCAGCTTGTAGGTGAAAGCTAGTAAGCACTTCTTGCTAATCCACATCATCTTTATTTCGTGACAAAATTGGAGCAGTGGCCCATCCCTTCATCTATGAACAGTGTGTGCAAGGATTAGGAAAACGTTCAAAATATTCTTGCTGCCACAAATTGTGGGGCCCTGATGAAGAACAAATAGACTAAACTATTCACTTAATTCTGCCTACACCATTCCAACCTACACCATGTTTGCTGCTGGTTTTCATGGGAAGTTAAGATCTCCTCATAAAAGGTAGGAAAGCAGATCCTTCACGTCTCTACAGACGTGGGTGTAAGGTATTACACAGGACTAATTTACATTCACTTCAGTTTTCCTTTGGCAAAGGAAAACTAAAACTAAATACTCCCACTTCCCAACTTCACTCACTGTATTATGCATTTCTTCCTCTGCCCAGGGGTTAGTATCAGTGATACTGGCATACATTCACAAACACCTGAAAAATAAACTCACAGCACCCAGGTTTAAGATCGAGTAGCAGAGATTTGATACTTTGGGAAAGATAAATATATTAAACCTGTAAACACTCCTCCAACGCAGTTCCATCATATAATATGTGCTAGTGGGGTACAAGATAACTAATCATTTCAACATCTATTTCTTTCAGAGGCCACAAAAGATTTCTGACAGCATTTATTAAAATCAAAATTAGTGATGTCGATTGAAGAAAATCATCCGACCATATCAGGAGTTAAACTATGTTTGAAGACCAGAAATAAGCAACATTTTCACATACAACAATATCAGGGAAAGTTATATACACCAATGGGAAACTTAAAGTTCTCTCATATCACTCAAACTGGAAGGGACCTTAGGACATCTCTGCTCAATAATCCAACCTCCTGCTCGAGCCACAACAAATGCTGAATTCAGACCAAGCAGCTCGCAGCTTTGTTATGCTTATTTTTACAGTGCAGAGTAGTCCCCTCATCTCCAGTAGGAACCTCCCACTTGCATTTATGCTTGTTGCCTCTTGTTCTCCAGCCATGCATTTCAAAGAACTTGGCTTGCCCTTTCCTGTAAAATTATTCTGGGCACTGAGGGGCTGCCTGGGTGTCCCCTCAGCCATCTCTTTTCCAGAAAGAAGCAGCCCAGCTCCCTCAGCCTCTCCCCCTTCTTATTGCCTGGCCTCTGAAGAGCTCCCATGGAGCTTTCAACATGTTTCTTGTACTGAAGGACCAAAAACCAGGCGTTGTGCTCCAGATGCAGCCTAGTGAGTGCCAAGCTGAAAGGAATAATCACTTCACTTCATCTACTGGCTACACTCCTGTTGATACAGCCCTGTACAGTTAGCTTTTATCACTACCAGGGCACATTGCTGACCTGAAACCCAACCAAGTTTTCCTATTCATTTCAGCAAGGCCTAAATTCCAGACTGAACATATAATAAAGAAGACAACAGGCAGGGAACAGCAGCAACAAAACACCAGGCATAAGCTTACACATACCATTGGTCGTTATTGTATTAGAAAGAAGTTGAGATCCATTTATCCTGTTAAAAGAGCTGCTTTTTGTATGACTGCACTCCGTTTCTGAACCATCCTTTACCAAGCTTCTTACAGAAGAGAGGAGACGAGTACTCTGTCTTCTCATACTACAGCTTGTTTGTAATAGCCACAGCCTGCATAAAGATACGAGGGTCTTTTCCACCAAAGAATTTAAGAGTTATCTGAAATAAGCAGAGCCAGTGATAACTGCTTCCTACTACAGGATAGCTAGGAACTACCCCCTTGCTCAAGCACAGGATACAGCTTACTAACTTGCCAGACTAAGGCCTGGTTTACTGTTAGGATTTTTAAAGAACACATTTCATTCTGGGATGTTACAGATGCAAGCGTGAAAATCTGCATTTAACCTTCCATCTGAAATAACTAATTTAAACAGAAATAGTGAACTGTCAGTTTAACAAACTAATCTAAAGGATTTGAACTCTTCTCCTGCATAAAAATACAAACAAAAGAAAACAGAAAAGGAAACCTTCTGCACAAGCCAAAGGAGTTAATATCTGACTTTCTGGGCTCTTACATCAGTTTGTTTTGAACACCAGGGCTAGCTAGAACATCAAAACATACATAGACACACTGTTTATTCTCAGTGCTAGAATTACAACCCTGTTTTTAACCCATCAGCAACTTGCTACATCTATTCATTCTGGTTTTGAATTACTTACAAATTCAATCCAACCAGTAGCAATGCTATCTTTATTCATAAGTCACGCTGCCAAAACTACAGATTTGTTAATTACTAGACAAGTCAACCCACGACACTAAGGTAAACAAGGCGATATAAAGCACTACTTGCTAACATCATGACAGATGTCACAGGATGCAGTTACTTTTATCTGCGATTAAAAATGTGAGTGTTCATATTCCAACTATTCAAGTTCTTATACTCTTCAAAAACTTCCCTTCCCTCATAAAAAAGATATGATTTATAAATCATATGCAGTAAAAATGGAGCTCTCTGCTGTGATTGCTTTAAGATAACAACTATTATTTGTAAGAAAGCCTCAGAGTTACAGTTTCCATTTATGAAGGGCAGAGTAATTCAGAATTTATGAACTTGACTACAGAAACAACATCTATCTGTGGGTAACAAAGCTTCCATGAACACCTTCTTGAATTAAAGCAAGCTAAGTTAATACACAACTTTCAGTCACACCTCCTCCTGCCCTTCCACCTGACCTGTGACTATCCTGGAAGCAGGGCGATTTCTTCAGTAATACATCACACAGGACCTAATTTGGGAACATATGGTCTTGCGTCTCCTCAGCTTCTGCCTGAAAAACACATTCGGATATCAGTGTTGTTTACCTGGCCTTCCCAGAATTATATATAAAAGCACAACACAAACCCACAAAATGAAGACCAAGGAATAAGAACCCCCACAGCACTTTTGGAACCCGTAGGGCTGTTGAGAATCATAGTTAGGAATAGAATATAAGTAGCTGTAATGATGATTTTCTTACTGCTAGAAATCTTCTGGGAATTACTCCAGGAACAACCTTAGTGCTACATCTCACAGAAGGAATGGGTTAAACTGATAGGAAAAACAGTTCTTGTACACAGCCCACCAGTTTAATAGCTGAACACATACAATCAGTAAAGGTGGAAAGCTAACGAGAAGACTTCAGAAAAAGCAGCATACACTTCCTTTTTGTAATTTATCAGCAACAGCACAGTCCATAACTGTCGAGCTCCTTTCTGCTAAGATACATACTTCAAACTACCAGTAATTTAGCAGTGATCTTTATCTACTTCATTTGAGATTTCTGCATGATCCTGCCCTATGCCTTACATTATTACTATTAGGGAAGGCAACTATACTGAAGGTGGTT